GGGGGGGGGGGGGGGGGTGGGCCCCCCCCCCCCCCCGCCACGTGCATGTCTTTAAAAAACATGAATTTTAAACTCTTTTTCAAATGTTCATCGCTGTATCTTTCTGGTATAACATTGTCTGCTATAAACACGAGCCAATAGAGGCGTCTGTACCAGATAGAGTTCATGGACAGTTGCGTTGAGCTTGAAAGATTTCTGGACTTCACGGGACTTCACGGAACTGCACGGGACTTTCCTCGTTAGGTGGCGGTGAACATATCTTTTATACGTTTTTAAAAAAAAAAGTTTCCACCTTAATCTTGAATCTAGAAAGTTCCCTTTTTTTATAATATGAGATTATATAATATAAATGTCATTGTTATGTTTCTGTAAGTTTCTATGATTTTCCTCAGATGTTATGAAATTAGATTTAAAGCTACAAATGTGTGTAGGAGGTTATACAATGTATTTTTTTTTTTGTTACACTAGCCAGAGCTGTACACGAAGGCTTAGGTTACGATGCAAGCGTCTACGTCACCATGTTGCATCTTGGCCAAACTTTCATAGTCCCTTAAAGATATCGATGGATTTCAATCTAATAATAGTCACACATATTTGTGCATGGGGTTGAAAGGGGGGCGGGGGGGGGGGAAGCAATTTGTGTACTTAAAAAAACCGCTCTATATATTGAGTTTCTCCACTGATTTTAAAGTCAATTTAAACAATAGATTTGGTCCGTTATTCAGCCTAAAATACTCACTGCTGTCAAATATAAAATATTTCTTCTTCAGGTGTCGGGGCCCCCACTAGCCAAAATGTAAAAAGGCAACACCTTTTCTATGCCTTTCGATTTAAATGGGATAAATGAGAAAAAGTAAATTTTATCCGACAGATATTCATAGTATCCCTAACTTAGGGATAACTAAAATGACCTTTTTTGGAATGGGTTCCTGCGGGGATCATATTTTATTTTACACGCTAAATGACCATATCTTTTGCAATAGGGGAAAGCCATTTTAATGAGACATCTTTTAAAAAGTTGTATTCGTCTTTAAATCATGTGTTGTTGTTTTTTTTGTTTCTCTGCCGAGTTCGGATTTTACCTGAAAAAGGGGTGGGCCCCAAATTCAGTGTTTACAAGAGTTATTATAAGTATGTCTTTTTATTTGAATAGAAGAAACTGTTAAAATGTAATTGGTACTCTAGCGATGTGTTTTTGACAGGGCCCTAAATTGACTTGTATGCTGAACACGCTTTAGAAGTTTTCCCCGGATGCACACCCTAGCAAAGCCGGGTAAATTGGCTAATATATATAAAAATATATAAAAATATATATTTATTTATTTAACATTTGTATTTCCAATTATATGTTATACATTTATTCATGTGTCTGGTGTGTTACCATTTGAGAATTAAGAATAGATAATTTTTTAATTTTTTTTTTTTTTTGCGGGGTGGGGTTGGGGGTCTACTTTATTTGATAGGTTTTAAGACTTACGGCCCGCCAAGGGTTGACTCCCGATCAAAATTGCTCGTGAAGCCATTAGGGTTAGCCACCCCTGACCTAGAACTTCACGATAGCTTACTGGCAGTTACAAGTGTTATTCTTCCTTTGCCTCTTCCAAGATGCTCTGCACCATAAATGAACTGCAGATACTGAGACAGCCGGTGGTCTTGTCACGGTGGGGGCGTGTTCTTGCCACTTGTTTACGACAACCAGGGGATCATTCACTTGAACGCTCTATGGTTGTGGCCCTTGGTAGCTTATTCGCTACTAGCATTTATCTCCCTTAGTTTGTACAGCGCCTCTGTAGTTTTGATTTGACCAATAATTTAACAACTGATGGTATATTACAGTTCTTTGACCAGTATAACAAATGATGATAAAGTAAAGTTCTTTGACCAATAGAACAACTAATGTTATAGTAGAGTTCTTTGACCAATATAACAAATGATGTTATAGTACAGGACTATGACCAATACACCCACTGATGTTATAATGGAGTTATTTATACGATTTTAAAATTTCCCCCAAAAAGTTAACCCCTGTGTACATTGAGTGTAATGACGAATTTTTATCCTTCCTTAATACAGCCATGAACGACATGTTTATAAATATGACTTAACTATATCTAATATTGACGACATACATCTAATATTGGCAACATATTATATAATCTAATAATGACGACCTACATTTTCCAATATTGACGACCTACATAATCTAATATTGACGACCTACATAATCTAATATTGACGACCTACATAATCTAATATTGACGACCTACATAATCTAATATTGACGACCTATATAATCTAATATTTGACAACCTACATGATCTAATATTGACGACCTATATCCAATAGTGTCCTATTGGCTTAACACTTTCGTAATATGTCCCCGTTCACGTCTTTAGCAGCGATGAAAATAGAAAGACAAATAAAAACAATGTAAACTTCCAAGCAAACATTTAAGAATAAAATAGAAAAAAACAAAAATAGAAAGTCGTGAGGTCATAGGATAATGTGGATATTATTTGAGGCGAAGGATAATGTAGTAGACATGGCGTCTATGATACTTTAATCTCTGGGGTAGGATTCTAAAAGAGTTTCTTTGAGCCCTTTGTGACAGAAGACGAACTTTCTGGCCCACACGAAGTTGTAGGCCTCCTCAAAGGTGAGGTTCGGGTTGTTGGCGAAGATGTAGGCTGTCATGGCACTGCCCACGGCGCTGACGCCATCACTGTCCCCGATCAGAATCTTCTTGTACTTGGGGTAGGCGTTCCACAGCCACTTGACCAGGTTTTGAATCTGAGGAGCAGTGACATCCCACATTAGGTCCTCAACACGGAGGCAATGTGAGGGCTGGATCAAAATGTCGCAGTAGCTGTCACATGGATAACTATATTGGATTAAATCACCGTAGCTGTCACATGGATAACTATATTGGATTAAGTCACCGTAACTGTCACATTAATATCTGAGTCTATATTTGGATTAAGTCTACTTAGCTGTCACAACAATATCTATATTTGGATCACGTCACTTTAGCTGTCAGTGTTAAATCGCTATTTAGTACAGAAGCAGACAGATAAAAGAATGACATAAAGCCAAACTGAATTCGACACTAAAACTACTAGGAGGATTATAAGATGATCAAATGACCAATGATAAGTCTCTAAATACGTATGTATGGCTGGCTGTAACACTGTGTACACTAGGCGCAGACATTAAAATTACCATAATCTGTCAAAAATTATTGGGAGCTACTTGAATGCATGTTTGCTCCAGTAACTTGAGGAGATGGGAAGTTCATGCATTGCTGCCGTCATTGTTTGCTGGGTTACAATAATAATTATCCCTAAATTCAGGTCAGCATCATATAGTAAAAAAAAATTACGCATATTTTTCAAAAACATTATATACCTGCGATATAGACTAGCAATATAGACCAGTAATATAGACCAGCAATGTAGAATAGCAATATAGACTAGCAATATACTTGCATTATAGGCCAGCAACATAGAATAGCAAAATAGTCTACATATCATCTTAGAGGGGGTTGTGTTGTTAGGAGGTCTTACAAATAGGCGATCTTATTTCTGCAAACCGTGACATGCGATCTTATTTCTGCAACCGTGACATGCGATCTTATTTCTGCAACCGTGACATGCGATCTTATTTCTGCAACCGTGACATGCGATCTTATTTCTGCAACCGTGACAAAAGATCTTATTTCTGCAACCGTGACAGAAGATCTTATTTCTGCAACCGTGACAGGTGATATTATTTTAGAAACTGCTTTAAGATGTTTAATTTAAAAGCGCTGATATTTACGTTCACCCATAAACCCAAATAGCTCAATTATATTTTCACATTTGTAAAGGGCGATTCATTTTATTTTGGACAAATGTCCTATCGTTAAATTACAGGGGCTCATATTATGTGGTGTTTAGAATATACCAATGTTTGATGATGAGCTAATCACTGC